GAATTTTATAAAATGTGAGTGTTTCTTGAATATTTACGTACAGTCTACATTGCTCCATAGACAAGTATAAAAAATATACTAGAGAATAAACTGAATAGAAGAGTTTAAGATCACTCAAGCACTTTCTCAGCAAAATCTAAAATAAAACGCTTCTTTTAAGCAGGCTGCGTGTGTACCATGTAAACATAATCAGTGCTTTTACTCGAAGGGTGCACACTTGCAAGGATGAGAATGAGACAAAAAGAGTAGTGACGAAGAAAAAAGAATTATTCAGGAGGAAAGTGTGTAAACTAGAAAATCAAACTTGCTCGTTTTTAACTGCATTATTTAACAGCAATGTCCTGATGGAAGTTTGCTTCGTACATCTTTCACAAGAAGGCTATGAAACTTCAGGCTTCGAGTGACATCGTCGCCGTTTTACTCAGTGATTTTCAGGCACAAAAGGACAAAGGAAACTACTTTGTGCATCATTAAATTATTTCCTTATAATATATTAATAAAAGAAAGAGATGTCAACATCAATAAGAAACAAATAATTATTTATCTGTAAATAAAACATATAACAGATATTTCTTTCTCTTATTATCCTTTGCTCTCTATCTAGGACAAATCCTCGTCGCACCGTCCAATGAGGAAGAAAACGGAAATAGAACAATTAATGAAGCTGGCATTATAAAGTCAGAATTGCGGATGACTCGTGACATCTTGTAACAATTGGAGAAGGAGAAACAGTTCCCAGAAGAGAATAATTACTGTCCTTAATAGACACCACAGCAGAAATGTTTCATTATAGATGCATCACTGTTCTTATTTCAATTTTCATATTGATCGTACTTAAAAAGACTCAATTGAATTGTGAATGGATTTAAAAGATCTCAATTTCAAGCTGGTATTAAATATAAACTGATCAAAAGTTATCATGACAAATTTTAAACGTCGATATGTTAACTGAAATAAAAGTGTCAACTATATTTCCTTTACAATTTGCTACACGTGTAACACGAATAAATACTAAGCCCCAATCGTGTATCATTGTACATATGACCGATGACTCTCACACTAAAATTTTCGGTAGTATCCAACCAAAAAAGCGCATGTTGAAATCTCGCAAATGCAGGGAACTTTCATCGTTGTCGATTTTTTTCCAGCTTTTTTCCTACATCAGAGAGCAATAACTGAACGGAAACTACACGCGTACAATCCATTTTAGTCGTTCTATTCGTCAATTTCCGGCGATAGAGCTTACAATGTCTTTCTATGCTTTCATACTTCGTGTAAAT